GGTAACAGGGGAGTAGATCGTGCAATTTCTAAATAATATAAACCTAACGGATGAAAAATCTGAGTTTCAATAATACGAACTAGGGAATAGGCAAGAGCAAATCCCGAATGTACTTGTATGGCTAATAGCTATCAGAAAGAGTTTATACCTTCTTTGATGACTGTTTTATTCACCTCTGTATTTCTAGTGCCACAGGTAATAGGTAGTCAGTAAATACACATGGAGTGAATAGTAAGTAAATGAATAAAAGACCCTCCTTAGGCTAGATAATTAAAAATAAATCAGTCCCTGTCCCTGATGACCCAGTGGCAGAGCTGCTGGGTACCCACGTGCAACCCCAGAGGCCTGAGGACCATCCCCATTGGGACTCACTGCCATTGCCAGTGACCTCGCCTTCTCCAGCAGCAGAACCACCTCACACTTGAATTTGTTCCCCTGTGGGAACAAATTTTGCACTGATTTCTTCCCATCTTCGTGGATTTACTTACTTTTGGTCTTTGAAGTTGGTGACTTTCGGGTGGTGTCTCTGAGTGGATGTCTTTTCTGTTGATGTCGAAGCTATTTCTTTTTGCTTTTTAGTTTTCCTTCTAACAGTCAGGCCCCTCAGCTCTAGGACTGGTGGAGGTCCACTCCAGACCTTGCTTGCCTGGGAATCACCCACTGGGGCTGTGGAGCAGTGAGGATTGATGCCTGATCTTTCCCCTGGTACCTTGGTCCCAGAGGAGTATCTGCCAGGTGTCAGCCAGAGCTGTCCTATAGGAGGCATTTTTTTGGTTATTCAGGGGTCAGGGAGCTGCTTGAAGAGGCGGCCTGTCCCTTGTCTGCCTGCAGAGGTTCTGCTGGGCTGCCTGGGACTCAGCCCCGCTGCTGTGTAGGCTTCCTCTGGCTTTTGTTTACACAATTGATATAAGACCCATTTTTACAATCGCTGACGGTCTTTCCCTCACTGAACTCGATCGTCCCAGGTTTAGCGTATACTGATGTGCTGGCTGCCAAACTCTCAATTGAGAGGGCTTCAGTTTCCTGGTCTTTGTTGGGGTAGAAACTGTGAAGCCATATCACCTGTCTCCTTGCTTTCAGCTCTCCCTCTTTCTGGGGGTGGGGAGTAAGATCTGTCCCACAGGTGCTTTTGGCACTAGTCAAAACTTCTGCCCAGATCTGTGCCAACAGCTTGTGGCACTGGTCTGGCTGGAGCTGTCCCTCAGATCTGTGTTGGTAGCTTGTGGCGCTTTTCAGCCCGGCGTTGTTTTCCTGGACTGTGGGTTGGAAAGGGCATTGGAGAAGCACAGTATCTAAACCAGAGTGCAGACTGGGTCAAGTCCTCAATCCTCAGGCATGTTGCATTTCCTGGGCAGGGCACTGCCCCGCCCTGCCTCGGTTTGCCCTCCTTGGGCTACACTCACTTACCAAACAGTCCCATTGAAATGAACTTGGTACCTCAGTTGGAAATGCGGAGATCACTTGCCTTCTGCGTCTCTCTCACTGGAATCTGTGCTCCAGACCTGTTCCTATTTGGCCATCTTGGCGGAAGTCAATCTGATTAATTATATAGGAAGTAAAAATCTTGAACATGTCGCTGGCAGTGGTGGCTCTGGCAGGGTACACCCCTCTTTCTTAAAAAGCCAGTCTTTATTCCAAGACTAAATCTACCATACAAAATTATTTCTCATATAAAATTATTTCTTTTTAAGCTTTCTTACCAAAAAAAGCCAATTTATTTTTAAAACTATTTTTACATCTCTCTTATTTTCTGGTTCCTTTTACCTTTTTTTTTTTTTTTTTTTTTTTTTTTTTTTTTTTTTTTTTTTTGAGACGGACTTTCGCTCTTGTTACCCAGGCTGGAGTGCAATGGCGTGATCTCAGCTCATCACAACCTCCGCCTCCTGGGTTCAGGCAATTCTCCTGCCTCAGCCTCCTGAGTAGCTGGGATTACAGGCACGCGCCACCATGCCCAGCTAATGTTTTGTATTTTTAGTAGAGACGGGGTTTCACCATGTTGACCAGGATGGTCTCGATCTCTCGACCTCGTGATCCACCCGCCTCGGCCTCCCAAAGTGCTGGGATTACAGGCTTGAGCCACCGTGCCCAGCTCCCTTGTTTTATACATAATCTTTAAATAAGCTTTGAGGCCAGGCATGAGGTCAGTAGTTCCAAACCAGCCTGGCCAACATGGTAAAACCCTGTGTCTATTAAAACACAAAAATTAGCCAGGTGTGGTAGCACACACCTGTAATCCCAGCTACTCAAGATGCTAAGGTAGGAGAATCACTTGAACCTGGGAGGTGGAGGTTGCAGGGAGCCAAGATCATGCCACTGCACTCCAGCCTGGGTGATAGAGTGAGACTCTGTCTCAGAAAAAATAAAGAACTTTGAATTAGACAAAAAATTTTCACCTTTTTAAAAAAGGACACCCCCTTTTTTTTTTTTTTAAGAAAGAATGTTTTTCTACAAACATATTTTGTTGGAAAATACCAGAATAATGAAGTACCTGTTGTTTAATTTAACTATAGTTTCTAAATTATGACAAGTTTGTCTACAAGTATTTATCCCATTACATTTACCTATTTATATTATTTTAATCATTTACCTTGATTATTTAAAGTTATGAAACCACCATTGCAAAATTATAACTGAGACAGTGAAAAAGATTTGACGTAACTGACTCCATCTTGCTTCTAACAGCCAAGCTGTCTTTGTTCATTACTGGGCAACTTTGGGAGGAACTTAGTTCACAGTTTAGTTTTGAAACAAAGATGATAACAGTTCCTTCCCAAAACAAACCTTACTGCCTGTGGACTAGACCTCTTAAAGCCACAAGATTAGCAGTTATGGTAATCTTACTAGATTCAAGATGTACCTATTTTCATTAAACCAGTATCATTATCTTATTTATTAAAGATTACATGGCAGGGTTCATTCTTTCTTGAGAGGTGTTTGTAGTTTAGTAACCCCTATGCCAAATTTAAATACTTACAGTATTTAGCAGGAATAAGTATGAAATGGCTTAATTAGCAAATGCAAACAGAATGTATGCTGGAAATTCTTAGGACATATTCTAATATTATTATACTTTACCAATAATTTAAAAACTAGCTTATTAAAGATGTTAGTTAAGTTGTATAAACTTGAAAAAGCATTTGACTAGTCTCTTCTTTTTTTCACATAAAGTATTTAATTCGAGAGCTTTTATTTTCTTATGCCAATTAATTAGAGCTTTTTAAAGTATATTTTCAGTAGTGAAACATTGTGTACAGAACACACAAATACATAGACATATGAGGCATGCCGTTAGTAGTACATCTTATGGATTCAGCTTTACAAGTAGCAGGATACATTCTTGGCTGAGTGAAGCAAAAGCTGACAGGTCAGGTCTTCTGACACCTGAGTAAGGGGTTGTGGATCAGTTTATTTAGAAGTAAATGGCCCTTCAAAAGCCACTGCTGGGTGCCAATTGAGCTAGGCAAAAATATGTTAATGCTCCTGCAGCAATTAAGAAAAGTTAAACTTTGCTTTGAATAGTCCATTTAAGAAGGCAGAGATATAAAAATTTTAGGGTTTTGCTCAAAAAGTTGTTAAAAGAAGGCCAGGCGCGGTGGCTCAAGCCTGTAATCCCAGCACTTTGGGAGGCCGAGGCAGGTGGATCACGAGGTCAAGAGATCGAGACCATCCTGGTCAACATGGTGAAACCCCGTCTCTACTAAAAAAAAATACAAAAAATTAGCTGGGCATGGTGGCGCGTGCCTGTAATCCCAGCTACACAGGAGGCTGAGGCAGGAGAATTGCCTGAGGCCAGGAAGCGGAGGTTGCGGTGAGCGGAGATCGCGCCATTGCACTCCAGCCTGGGTAACAAGGGTGAAACTCCGTCTCAAAAAAAAAAAAAAAAAAAAAAAAAAAAGTTGTTAAAAGGTAAGTTTTGTTTTCTTACAAATATTGCTTGCTTGGAAAGTTTTATTTCTGTATTAAATTAAAATTTTTTCTCAACTTTTTTCATCTCATGTTATATTATGCTTTTTGTTTGCATGAATGTAGAAATACTATGTCCCAAATACTAGGATAGATCTGATAAAATAAGTGCTCACTTTTTGGTTAACTGAATGTATACTTTAATTTACTTAAAATTTCAGTTTTTGGTTTTACCATGAGTCAGTAGCTCTGAAGCCCAGTGGAGATAAAGCTAGACTATTATATAGTGGCTACAGCTCAAGAACCATTTCCAGTTCAGAGGTGACATTGTTTGGAATGTTTGCCGCATAGCTAGCGCATGTGCCCATTTCTCATGAGGATAAATGATTTTAAAAGGATGTTTATAACATGTATTCAAATACATCAGTTAAAATAGCATTTTGTTGAATTAAGTATGAAAATGTTTCATTTTCAAACCAGTAGTGTATATGATTCTAATGTACACTTTTTTTTTTTTTTTTTGAGACGGAGTTTCGCTCTTGTTACCCAGGCTGGAGTGCAATGGCGCGATCTCGGCTCACCGCAACCTCCGCCTCCTGGGTTCAGGCAATTCTCCTGCCTCAGCCTCCTGAGTAGCTGGGATTACAGGCACACACCACCATGCCCAGCTAATTTTTTTTTGTATTTTTAGTAGAGACGGGGTTTCACCATGTTGACCAGGATGGTCTCGATCTCTCGACCTCATGATCCTCCCACCTCGGCCTCCCAAAGTGCTGGGATTACAGGCTTGAGCCACAGCGCCCGGCCGTACACTTTTTTTAGTGGAGTAAAAGAGCTAAAAGTTGTTTGACACATTCGGATATAACAAAAATCATAAGTTACAGATTTATTTTATCAAATATTCAGGTTCAATCCCACTAAGGGCCTTCATATGAACATCTAACTCTACTAGGAACAGATAGGCAACACAAATATGCCTTTACTTTGTAAAGTAAATATTATTTTTCTTAATTATGAAATTAATATGTATTTTTAAAGCTGATGTTGAAAAATTATCAGCATAAAAAAACTGACTTATAAGGTCACTATTTATTATTATTTCTCTTTCAAAGGCATTATAGATTACCTACTTTAAAATTAAATTAGGGTCAACTTGCATTAATATGTTTTTATGAACATATTGTGTTCGAAGTCCATTGAAAAGGCTGTAATGTCCTTATTTATGAAGCTAAAAAAAATGGATAGATAACTTGAATACTTAGAAAAATAATTGGTGTGTACACTATGTCCAGGAAATAAAATTGACACTTTTGAAAGCTTCAGTAATCCTTGATAGACTGTGATGCTTTAACCATTACGAGGAATTGCAAATAGTTCATCCTTATAACACTTTTTCATTCCCATGTTTGAGGCTTAAGCTATTGGTGTTTCCTTTCAGTTTCAGTCTGAAGGTCATTTGCTCTCTTTCTCCCTTTGAAAGAAGCCATGCAACTGTCCACTCCAAGGTAGTCACCAAAGGCAAGAATCATTTTTGGAGACATTATTCTAGGAGAAAAGCAGAGAAAAAATTATAATCCCATAAGAAGAGTCAAATTAACTGCTTTGCAAAGAGTAAGTGCAAATTATACAAAGTTTAAAATGTCACTTAATGGGAGGGCTGAAGAGGATAGTTCTGTGTCACATCCAAGTGCCATCACCATCCTCAACACCAGTGGCTCTTGACCCTGGCTACACCTTGGAATCACTGGAGCTTTGAAAAGCCCCAATGTTCAGGCCACACTTTATCCCTATATAACATCCCCTGAATTCTGTGGAAAGACTACATATATCCTTATCTACTAGACTAACAAAAGGTAGCAAAATCTAGAAAGAAAACTGGACCAGTTAAAGCAGAATCTCTGGAGCGGGCGTCCCCAAACTACGGCCCGCGGGCCTCATGCGGCCCCCTGAGGCCATTTATCCGGCCCCCCGGCGCACTTCAGGAAGGGGCACCTATTTCATTGCTGGTCAGTGAGAGGAGCACAGTATGTGGCGGCCCTCCAACGGTCTGAGGGACAGTGAACTGGCCCCCTGTGTGAAAAGTCTGGGGACACCTGCTCTGGAGGGTAGGGCCCAGGAATCTGTGGTTTTAAATATTCCCCGGGTAATAACAATGTGCACGCGAGATGAAGAACCATTGTTTTAGTTCTTTGAGGATAGAGGCTGTCTCTTCAGCTCAGTTTTGCTCAATTCAACTCGATGTGGCAAATATTTATTGCATGCTAATTACACATTAGGTATTGTCCAAGGCTAGGGCAAGGAGCAGGAAACAATTCAGACAATATATTTTGTCCTCAGGAAGCATGCAAGGTAGTAAGTAACTACAGGTGTGATGAGTAGTGCCAAAAACCAGGGTCAGCTGTGATGGAATGTACACTGAGGGCCCTAGCTAAGCAATCAGAGGCTAAGGTTGCATAGGAAATACATTGGATAGATATAAATAGTAAGGAAAGTACTGTGTTTATCAATAATGTAATTTCGTAATGGTGAATCTCTGCTTGTGCTTTCTACTCTGCTAGTTCTTACAGCAGAGGAGGAGTATTTCCTGAGGGTAGGAACTTAAGCTCTGTAATCAAATTTGAAATTTAGGTTTGCAACTTTGTTGCAGCATATATTAGTTGTTTAACCCTGCAAAAATTACTGTCTTTAAACCTCAGATTTCCTAAATTGATAAAATTCACAAAAAGCTATCAGCACAGTAGCCGGCAGGTAGTAGTCACCCCATAAATGCTAGATGTGGACCTGGGTGGAATCCATTAACAAATACCTGAAACTCATAGCACAGGCCTTGTATGAAGTTGCCGGAGCGATTTCACAAAATAGAATGAAGAACTTGTAAAATATTCTTAATATATTTTTTCTGGCAACACACTTGTTTTTTGTCCTTTGTTTTCAAAGTAGAGCTCTACACTAATCAAACTAGTTAACCAAAACCAAAAATATAAAAAACAAACAAATACCCCAAATAATTTGTGTTACTTGTTTGTGTTAAAACAAAAAAAATGTGTGTACTGCAAGACCTAAATAATTGTTCAATTTAGTCAGTGTCTGAAGCAACCAAGACACAGCGATAGTTCGGTAAGTCGTTTCTGTGCTATTAAGATTCTTTCTCTTACCATTAAAAAAATACATAAAGTTGCTTTCCATGCCAAAGAGGTAGCAGTGTTTAGACAATTTGTTCACAATAACCAGAATGATAGTGAGGCCATTATTAACTTACTGTTTAAGAATCAATGCAATATATAAAAATTTGGGTATCATTAAATAAACTTGTTCCTCCAAAATAGCATTTACAATTTTTTTGGCCACATACTCCTGCTCCAGAATTGGTAACAGAAACGGATACCTGGAATAACAATAACAAACAGTGATATCAGCAGAATGGCATTTTTGTTGTCATCATAGGGCCCTGATGATTAAATTTCAGATATGGAACTATACCATACAGCTGTAAATAGTCAAACAAAACGTAAATCTTAGGAACTGCCTTCTGTTTTCTCTTATGATCAGTACTGGGACCAGTGCTAATATATTTAATTTCCTGGAGTGAACTTCCTGCTTTGGTGATTTTCTGCTGTGTGATAGTCTAAACATATGGAAGTAATTGCTTTTAGATTTTTTTCTTTCTCCCCTCTCTGTTCCTCCCAAACATCAAAGAGGTATATACTATTAAGAAGCAAAATTGCGGCCAGGCACCAGCCAGTTGGTAATCCCAGCAATTTTGGAGGCTAAGGCAGGTGGATCACTTGAGATCAGGAGTTCGAGACCAGCCTGGCCAACATGGTGAAACCCCGTTTCTACTAAAAATACAAAAATTAGCTAGGTGTGGTGGCCCATGCCTATAATCCCTTGGGAGGCTAAGGCAGGAGAATCACTTGAACTCAGGAAGTAGAGGTGGCAGTGAGCAGAGATTGTGTCACTGCACTCCAGCTTGGGTGACAGAGTGAGATTCATCTTAAAAAAAAAAAAAAAAAAAAAAAAAGAAAGAAAGCAAAATTGTAAACTTGTCTTACCAAAGAAGTCTCTTGAACATGTGTAATTTATCAGCTTAGGTAGATCACTGTTACAACATTAAACAGAAATAGATGTTTCTTAAATCAGTAGTTGAAATGGATCAGAATATAAATAAATGTCACATAAGGTATTACTTTGATATTTTATACTTTTATATTATTCTACTTAATTAGTTGAACCACACTCCCTCAAAAAAATTCTGATTATCTCAGCTGATTTTGGGAGTCTGATCAATTTTCCACAATTGAATGTTGACAGTTAGTCTTTATATTTCATTCTCCTAAACGTTTTTCAGAACTGTGGCCTAAAGGGCTCCAGTGGTTATTTAAAAATAGAATCTACAGATCATTGTTTAATTCTCTACCATTTTAGGATTGTGAATCTTTCTTCTTCTGGAGACTTTCATTGTTATGTTTGTTTATCTAAGGACACCAATTTTATAAAAGTTATCGTTTAACATCACTGCCTTCTCTGGGTACCATGCTCCCTTACCCTGGCTGGTCATATTCTTTCTGTGATCTTAACACTCTAGCTTTTAATAAGACTTAATCACATACTATCAATTCTTACTAATATTATTTTAATAATAATGTTAGAAACAAAGTAAAGAAAATAACCTAAAAATGTATAGAGTATGCTTATATTAGCTATAACTACATATGTACATATGCATGTTTATTATAAATGCTACTTATATAAAACATGTATAGTACATGATTTACTACTAATAATAAATTATACATTACTTTTTGTTATAAATTCCATATAATCAATTACTTTCACAGAATGTTTTTATTGAGTTTTGTTGAATTCTTGCATCACATGTATTCTGTCACATGGATATGACATACTCTGGTTAACCATTCAACAGTTGATGGATATTTGAATTGTTTTCACCTTTCAGCTGTTATGAATAATGCTCTGTGAACATTTATGTACAAGTTTTTGTGGGGACATGTGTTTTCATTTCTCTTGGATATATACTTAGGAGTGGAATTGCTAGGCCATGTGGTAATTCTATGTTTAACATTTTGAGGAACTATCTTAACAATATTAAGTCTTCCAATCCATGAATATGGGATTTATTTTTATTTAAGTCTTCTTTAACCTCTTTTGAAGATGTTTTGTAATTTTCATAGGATAAGTTTTGCACTTTTTTGTTAAATTTATTCCTAAGTATTTTATTATTTTTGATGCTGTTGTTTAATGGACTTGTTTTACTAATTTCATTTTTGGACTGTTCATTTCAGATGTATGGAAATACAATTGAGTTTTGTACATTGATTTTGAATATCTGTCCTTTGCTGAATTCGTTTTGTATATATAATTGTGTGTATGTGTGTGTGTGTGTGTGTGCATGTGTATTCTTCAGGATTTTCTATATACAAGATCATGTCATCTGAAAACATAATTTTGCTCCTTTTTTTCCAATCCAAATACCTTTTATTTTATATTTTGTCTAAATGTTCTATTGAACAGGAGTTGAATCGGAGTGGTGAATGTGGATAGACTTGTTTTCTTCTTGATCTTGTGGGGAAAGCATTCAATCTTTCAGCATTAAATATGACGTAAGCTATGGGTTTTTCATAGATGCTGCTTATCAAGTTGTGGAAATTTCCTTTTATTTCTGCTTTCTTGGTGTTTTTATCATGAAAGTGTACTGGATTTTGTCTAATGCTTTTTCTGTATGTTTTGAGATGATCATGCAGCTTTTCTTCTTTGTTCTACTGATATGGTGTACTGTATTAAATTCTTTTTAAATATTAACCCAATCTTGCATTTCCAGGATAACTCCTATTTGATCATGATGTATTAATATGATAGGTTGCTGGATTCAGTTTGCTGGTATTTTATTGAGAATTTTTGTGTTTATATTCATAATAGGTATTGATCTTTGGTTTTATTTTCTTGTGATGTCTCTGTGTAGTTTTAGTATCAAGGTTATCCTGCCCTCATAGAGTGAGTTGGGAAGTGGTCAGTCCTCTTCTATTTTTTTGTAAGTGTTAAAAATATTGGTAGCCATTCTTCTTGAAAAGTTTTATAGAATTTTCCATGAAGCTCTCTAGATCTGGGATTTTTTTTTTTGGTTTACTAATTTAATATCTTTGTTTTAAGTCTATTCATATGTTTTTTTTTCCCTCTGAAGTCAGTTTTGTTAGTTTGTGTCTCTCTAGAAATTATTCAATTTCATCTAGATTATCTAGTTTCTTGGCATGTAATTTTTTGTAGTATTTTCTTATAGTCTTTTTCCTTTCTGTAATGTCACCAGGAGTGATGTCTTCTTTTTTATTCCTGATTTTAGTAGTTTGAGACTTCTCTGTTTTTTCTTTCTTGGTCAGTCTAGCTAAAGTTTTGCTAATTTTGTTGATTATTAATGTTGGTTTCATAGATTTTTCTCCAGTTTTCCACTCTCTATTTCGTATATTTCTGCTACAATTATTATTTATGCTTGATTTGAATTTAGGGTGCTCTTTTTTATAGTTTCTTAAGGTAGAAGATTATTTGTTTATTTAAGATGTTTTTTATTTTTAAATAAATTTTTCTCTAAGCACTGCTTTAGTCATATTTCCACGTATTTGTAAATTTCTCAAAATTTCTTCTGTTTTTCATTTCTAATTTTATTTTGTTTGAAGAATATACTTTGTATGATTTTATTCCTTTCAAATTTATTGATGGTTGTTTTATGTCTCAGCCTATAGTCTATCCCAGAGACTGTGCTATGTGTGCTTGAGAAGAACGTGCATTCTGCTGTTGTTTGGTGGAACATTCTACAGATGTCTAATAAGCATACAGAGCTTATAATCCTCTGTGCCCTTTGATCACAGGGACATCCTTTAATAATTTTTTTCTGAGATGGGGTTTTGTTCTGTTACTCAGACTGGTCTACAGTGGCACAATCATGGTTCATTGCAGCCTGCACTTCCAGGGCTCAAGCCATCCTCCCACTTTAGCCTCCTGAGTAGCTGGGAACTACAGGCATGGAACACCACGCCTGGCTAATATATATATATGTATATTTTAGAGACAACGTCTCACCATGTTGCCCAGGCTGGTCTCAAACTCCTGGGCTCAAGCAATCTTCTTGTCTCAGCTTCCCAATGTATGGGGATTATAAGCGTGAGCCATTGTGCCCAGCTGATAATTTCTAAAATTATATATTTTTTCTGGGGCACATAATATACATGTTTACCTATCAGAACCAATTTCATATTTATACTCTCTTAATTCTAGTGAGATGTAGGAACTTTACCCCTATATAGCTGTATTGCCTCTCCCAGTTTTATGCTATTGTATACATATTATATCTATATATGTTACAAACACAGTGATACATTATTGTAGTTAATACTTTATAAGTTTTATGTTTTAAAGAAGCTGAGAGAATGAAGGAGAACAAGTATATGTTTATAGGGTTTGTCGTATCAACCTTTTTCATCTCTGGTTCCCTTCATTTCTTCCTGTGCATCTGAGTTACCATCTGGTGTCATTTACTTACTTCAATACAACTTTGTCCCCACTCACCTCCTTTGTGCTCTAATTGTCAAAAATATTATGTTTCTATATGTGGTAAGACCAATAAAACTATTATACCATTTGTATTTATAATCAATGAAGAGAGGGAAAAGAAATATGCATTTATACTGTCTTTTAAAATTACCTACTTTGTCACCTTTACTGTCACTCTGTTTATTTCATGTGGATTCGGATTACTCTCAGGAGTACTTGTTTTCATCCTGAAGAATTTCCATTAGTATTTCCTGTGAGGTGGCATTCTAAGCAAAAAATTATCTGTTTCGGTCTGCCTTCCTTTTACCTTCATTTTTGAAAGAGACTTTTTGCTGGATATAAGACTCTTGATTGATAATTTTCCCCCCAGTACTTTGCATATGCTATCACGCTGCCTTTCTGCTTCCGTTGTATCTGTTGAGGCGTCAGTCATTAATCACAATTGGGTTCCATTGCACATGATGAGACTTTTTTTTTTTTTTTCCTTTTGTTGCTTTGTTTGTGTCTTTTAACATTTTGACTATGCTCTGTCTGGGTGTGGAACCCTTTGTGTCTATACTACTTGGAGTTCATTGAGTTTCTTAAATATGTAAATTAGTGTTTTTCATCAAATTTAGGAAGCTTTTAGCCATTGCTTTTTTGAATTTTTTTTCTGTTCCTTTCTCTATATATTCTTTATTATTTATTTATTTATTTTATATAGAGTCTTGCTCTGTTGCCTGGGCTAGAGTGCAGTGGCACAATCTTGGCTCGCTGCAACCTTCACCTCCCAGGTTCAAGTGATTCTCCTGCCCCAGCTTCCCAAGTAGTTGGGACTACAGGTGCACACCACCATGCCCAGCTATTTATTTATTTATTTTTGTATTTTTAGTAGTGATGGGGTTTCACCATGTTTGCCAGGCTGGTCCCAAACTCCTGAGCTCAAGTGAGCCTAAGCCTCTCAAAGTCCTGGGATAACAGGAGTGAGCCACTGTGCCTGGCATCTGTGTATACTCTTTTTATGTTTTTCTTGTCATGTATATATTTATTTGTTTAACAGTATCCGAAATTTCTCTGAAGCTCTTTTTTCTTCATTTTGTTTTCTCTCTTTTCTTCTGATTGCATAAGTTCCTCCTATCCATCTTCAAATTTACTCATTCCTTTTTTCAGCCAACTCAAATCCAATCTTTCTTTTTTTTTGAGACGGAGTTTCGCTCTTGTTACCCAGGCTGGAGTGCAATGGCGCGATCTCGGCTCACCGCGACCTCCGCCTACTGGGTTCAGGCAATTCTCCTGCCTCAGCCTCCTGAGTAGCTGGGATTACAGGCACGCGCCACCATGCCCAGCTAATTTTTTGTATTTTTAGTAGAGACGGGGTTTCACCATGTTGACCAGGATGGTCTCGATCTCTCGACCTCGTGATCCACCTGCCTCGGCCTCCCAAAGTGCTGGGATTACAGTCTTGAGCCACCGCACCCGGCCTCAAATCCAATCTTGAACTGCTCTTCTGAATGTTTATTTTCAGTTATTTTTCCTTTCTGCTTATAAATTTACATTTGTTTTTCTGTTTACTTTCTGTCTATTGAAATTTGGTGAGACATTGTCATCATATCTTTTTCACTTCTAAATTTACATTTGTCTTTCTTTATACTTTTGATCTACTGAAATTTGATGAGACATTGTTATAATATCTTCTTTTTATTTTTCAAACAGGTATTCTTTCAGATCTTTGAATGTATTTATAATAACTTTTTGAAATTTATTTGGTAAGTCCAACATCTGAGCCTTTTTGAAAGCAGTTTCTATTGCCTATGTTTTTGCCTGTGTGTGGGTCATACTTTTCTATTTCTTTGAGTAACTCCTAATTTTTTGTTAAAAAAATGGACATTGCAGATAATATATTTTAGGAACTCTGGGCAATACTCTACCTTAGGGCTTGTTGTTATGGTTGTTTGCTTGTTTATTTATTTACCGACTTGGCTATACCAGTTCAGTGAAGTCTGCCCCCTCCTTCTACAGTCAATGTGTAGCTTTGGTGCCGTTCCTTAGGGGATGCAGTCCTGGGCATGCACACAATCTTCCTGACTGTCAGAGATGACTGTGATTTTAACCAGACAATCTTTTACCACCTTTTGGGCTTGTCTCTTAGTCAAGCTTTGACTGGTCTGCTTCTACTGTCACACCCAGCTCTTAACCTCCACAATTTGCTAGCTGGTTGTCCTGTTCCTTTTGTATTCTGATTCATGGTCTTACCCAGTTGAAGTCAGGTCCTGTGGCAGACGCAGAGAGATACCAGTCTTTGAGGAGCCTTTGACACTCACCTGGCCCCTGGTTACTCTATGCTGTGGAGCAGGAGATCAGGGTGATATAAAACGTACTCTTCCATGGCTACTTTACCCAAATTGTCCCTGTCAATCGGGATGTGAGAGTTGGAGGTGGAGATGACACAGAGTATGCTGGCAATCAGCTACTGCCACTAACCTGTATGGATATTCCACAGCCTACCAGGCGTCCCCAAACTACGGCCAGCGGACCGCATGCGGCCCCCTGAGGCCGTTTATCCAGCCCCCCGCCGCACTTCAGGAAGGGGCACCTCTTTTATTGGTGGTCAGTGAGAGGAGCACAGTATGTGGTGGCCCTCCAACGGTCTGAGGGACAGTGAACTGGCCCCCGTGTAAAAAGTTTGGGGACGCCTGGCCTAGACCCTAGAAGAATGGGATCTGCTAATATTCATTGCCTGGGAAATCTACCCAAAACAAGTATTCTGGAATTTGGGGAAGATGAACCTGCCACTTGGCTGCTGAGCTTACTGGGGCAGTTCTGCCACAACAAAGAGCTGTTCTGGGAAAGGAACCGCCTTCTTCACCAAGAGCCCCTCTCTGGACTTCCCCTTCACAAAATGATCAAGCACTGTCTGGCTGAGGTTATTGATGCAACACAGGTCTTCTACTGCATGGGGCTGTCAAAAATAGGATTTGCTAATGTTCTACCAGCTATCAAACTACTCCGAATAGCCCTTTCACCCCCAGGAAGGGTGGAAGAACTGTCACTTGGTTGTCAAATCTGCTGTAACATTATCCCACAAGGCAAGAGGGATAGTCCCAAGCCCCAGCGCCATGGTCTTTTAGTGTTCTTATTGACTTTCCATACATTGTATTCAACAAATGCTTCTTGATTTTTTGCATGCCCTTTGATCACTCTCCAGAGATTTTATTTTATTTTATTGAGACAGAATCTCACTCTGTCACCCAGGTTGGAGTGCAGTAGTGTGATCTTGGCTCACTGCAACCTCCATCTCCTGGGTTCAAGTGATTCTCATGCCTGAGCCTCCTGAATAGCTGGGATTACAGACATGTGCCATGATGCCCAGCTAGTTTTTGTATTTTTAGTAGAGACAGGGTTTCACCATGTTGGCTAGGCTGATCTCAAACTTCTGACCTCAGGTGCCCCACCCACGTTGGCCTCCCAAAGTGCTGGGATTACAGGCATGAGCCACTGCACAGAGCCAGTCTCTAGAAATTTTAGATGATTGTCTTTGCTAATTTTGACAAGCTTAATAGACGTCTCTTTGGGGAGAGATTTCCCCTATACATTTTGTCAATTCTTGATCACTTGTTGGAACTCTATTTAATTTTAAAACTTCACTAGACTAAATAGTTTCATTGCCTCTTAGCGAGCCTTTTCGTTGGCTGTTTCTATGTCTCACAAATATAGCTGATTCATGTCATTTGGATTATGTTAGTCTCTTTTTTAATGATCATAGTTACTATACTTGTCCTTGTATCTAGTTTACACTTTTCAATATACTCATTGACTGGTTCCCTATGTAAAACCTCTCATATTATATTTGCATTCTAGTTTGGAGTGTTTTAATTTAACCCTCATACCACAATGTGACTCTGCAATACTTCGGCTATATATTAATCAATTTTATAAAATATTTTATTTTTGAGTTTATTTATACCTTTGTATTCTCTTTAGGAAAAAGTTATCTTCTCAATACTACAAAGCTAAGCATTTTCAAAGTTCTCAGTATTAATTTCTTTGTTATATTTTAATATACTAATTAGTATTTTAGGTTTAAATTTTTGCTATACCACAAGCTCCATAACTATATTATTGTCTTTAAATTTATAAATTTCATGCATATTGAAGTTTGCTTTTACTAAATTAGTCATTCAAATTGTTTCTATTGTTTCACTGTCCATATTTCAAAACTTCAAAATGATCAGATGATGACATATATTGGAAGATTATGTTAAAAGCAAATATTACTTTAAGAGCTAACTTACTTGGTGGTACAGCCCTCAAACATTCCAGTGTTGATGAGATATGGGCAAACAATGGTGGTTTTAATTCCAGTTTTCTTTAGAATAGCTAATTCATAAAAGAGAGATTCAGCAAAGCCAAAGGCTGCAAATTTACTTGCAGAATAATCTGAAACAAAGTGAGGAACTATTAGTAATAGAGCTTGACGAGTTAATTCTTGGAATTATTTAAAAACTTGAATCGCCTTCCTCTTTCTCTGGCTTGTCCTCGGGAACGAAGCATTCCTGTCAGAGTCAACTTATGTGGCCAAACACTCCACTCCACACTCTTTACCCAACAAAAAGACAGAAATCATATCGGTGTTTTCTAACCCAAGAAGACCTATAAGCCAATAGGCATATTCATTTTTTTTTGAAAAGAGAATATATCTCCTTCTGGAAATAGAAGAGAATGCTGGCATTATAGAGCCAAATATTCCAGAGGTTTCCCCTTGGTGCAGGAAGAGCTTCTATCTATCTTGAAAGAGTCCTAATTTCTGAGTTCTGTGGCACATGGTGAAACAAGGTACTCACCTGATAGTCCAGTAATACCAGCTACTCCCGCTATACTTGAAATACAAACCAGGTGCCCATGGTTAGTTCTAATCATGGCAGGAAGGAAGGCCTTGTAAGTCTGGAAGGTATAAATGCATTTTGTCAATATTTTATTCATTTATTACTATGTTTGCTTCATAAGCATTTGATGAACTTACTAATTTAGCAAATGTTTATTTAACACCGTAATGTGTTAACTTCTGTGGCAGTAGAAAAGTAGGTACTACATAATCATTGTTTTCAATGAGATTAAGGGTTATTATATGCAAATCTACATTATTTGATTTTTTTCTTTTGAAATAAACTATACTAATTGAATCAAATGAAACTTATATTTGTGCTTGGCTAGAAATATTAAAACCTAGTTTTTTTGGTATGCTGAACATTTTTTTTTATAAAGAAGAGGAAGAAAGGGAAAGAGGAAGAGGGAGAGAGGATGGGGGTATTGCTTTATTGCCCGGGCTAGAATGCAGTCTAAATATGGGTATGCCTATAATTGTCCTTAATAATGGAGACATGAAAGAAAATGAGGGAAGAGAATAACAAACAAGGAGCCAACCAACATTTCGTTTAAACTTCTAAGTGGATATGATGTGGTACTGATAAGAGTGTATATTTTGTGTATTTAAAGTGGAGAGTTCTATAAATGTTAATTACGTTTACTTGTTCCAGATCTGAGTTCAAGTCCTGGATATCGTTGTTAATTTTCTGTCGCATTGATCTGTCTAATATTAATGTTGAAGTCTCCCACTATTATTGTGTGGGAGTCTAAGTCTCTTTATTAGTCTTGTATGTCTGGGTATTCCTGTATTGGGTGCGTATATATTTAGGATCTTTAACTCTTCTTGTTGTTGCGTTGTTTCTTTTATCATTATATAATGTCCTTCTTTGCTTCTTTTGATCTTTGTTGCTTTAAAGACTATTTTATCAGATGCAAAAATTGTAACTTCTGCTTTTTATTTATTTATTTTTGCTCTCTGTCTGGTTGGTAAATCTTTCTCCATCCCTTGTTTTGAGTCTTTGTGTATCCTTGAATGTGAGATGGGTCTGGATGCAGCATACCGATGGGTTTTAGTTTTTTGTCCAAATTGCCTGTTTGTCTTTGAATTGGGGAATTTAGTCAATTTAAATTTAGAATTAATAACTATATATGTGAGTTTAATACTGCCATTTAATATTAGCTGGCTATTTTGCCCATTAGTTGATGTAAATTCTTCATTATATTGATGCTCTGTTTGGTATTTTTTTAGAAAGGCTGATACTGTTTGTTCCTTTCTACGTGTAGTGGTTCTTTCAGAAGCTCTTGTAAAGCAGGCCTGGTGGTGATGAATTCTCTGAGTGCTTGCTTGTTCACAAAAAACTTTATTTTTCCTTCACTTATGAAGCTTAGTTTGGCTGGATGTGAAATTCTTGGTTGAAAGTTCTTTTCTTTAAGGATGTTGAATATGGGTCCCCACTCTCTTCTGGCATGTAGGGTTTCTGCTGAGAGATCTGCTGTAAGTCTGATAGGCTTCCCTTTGTGGGTAACCTGACCTTTCTCTCTGGCTGCCCTTAGTATTTTCTCCTTCATTTCAACCCTGGTGAATCTGATGATTATGTGCCTTGGGGTTGCTCTTCCTGAGGAATATCTTTGTGGTGTTCTCTGTATTACCTGGAGTTGAATATTATCCTGCCTTACTAAGTTGGGAAAATTTTCCTGAATAATATCCTGAAGCGTATTTTCCAGCTTGGATTCATTCTCTTCGTCACATTCAGGTACACCTATCAAGCGTAGATTAGGTCTTTTCACATAGTCCCATATTTCTTGGAGACTTTGCTCGTTCCTTTTTATCCTTTTTTCTCTAATCTTGTCTTCTTGTTTTATTTCATTGAGTTGGTCTTCGACCTCTGATATCCTTTCTTCTGCTTGATCAATTCGGCTGTTAAAACTTGTGCATACTTCACGTAGTTCTCGTATTGTTTTTCAGCTCCATCAATTCACTTACATTCCTCTCTAAATTGTGTATTCTTGTTGACATTTCGTCAAACCTTTTTTCAAAGTTCTTAGTTTCTTTAGATTGTGTTAGAACAAGTTCTTTTAATTCACAGAAGTTTCTCATTATCCACATGTTGAAGCCTGCTTCTGTAATTGGAACACACTCGTTCTCCATCAAGCCTTGTTTTGTTGCTGATGAGGAACTGGGATCCCCTGCTGAGGGAGAGGCGTTCCGATCTTGGGTATTCTCAGCCCTTTTTGGCTGTTTTCTTCCCTTCGTTGTAGATTTATCCATCTGTGGTCTTTATAATTACCGTCTTTGTAATTGGGTTTCTGAGTGGACGTCCAACTTATTGATTCTCAGCGCCGAACTCTGAGCAACCCACTGCGCCGACTCAATCAGCGGCGTTAAGATTGATGGTGCTTTTCTGACTCTGCACCAAGAACCGACGCTCCGAGGCGCCGGCAAAACCACCTCGCCGGTCACAAGAGTCGCGCTGGCGACCCATGGGGTTCCTCCGCTGGGAATCTCCTGGTGCCTGAGCAACAAGAATTCATGTGAAGGTGTGGCATCCTCTCGTTCTTTGCGTTTTCACTGGGAGCTACAATCCCGAGCTGCTAGTGATCAGCCATCTTGGATCCTCTCACCGGTATGTTGAACTTTTCAATGTAGATTTTAGCAATTTATATTAAAATTTAATTACATTTACCTTCCTGGCTTTACCCTAAACAAGATCTGCCCTTGCCCTGATGGTTTAGCAGAATGGGAGGAATTGTTTAGGGAAAAGTGATTTTCACTGCAAGCTAAACACACCCTGGTAAGTAAAATACTATCATATCTTAAATATATTCTTATTTCAGTACTCCTTTTCTCATTCACTATGTAAATCCAAGTTTCTAATATCATCATCTTGTTGGCTGTGTTATTGTACCGGATCCCCCGTAAATGAGTTCAATCTAACCTTGACAATGCTCATGATCTGTTTCTATGAGATTTACAGTGTTAACAGTGTCAGAATTTTGCATTTAGAGTTTTGGAGAGACTGCCAAGATATGCTTAGCTACAAGGGGCCAGTAGAATAGAGAGTAGGCACTGAATCAAAGAATGAGACCTTTGTTTTTGAGATATACTTTATCTCAGTAACCTTGTTCCAGAGCTGCTGAACTAATTGACGAATTATTGCTTAGATATGAACAACTGGCCTCTTTTGACGTTTCCTGTCCAAGTGTGGTGAGAATTTATACATCTGTGTCTTGAAGTTGCAACATTTTTGTCTTTCAAAAATTAAACTCTGGTCGCGTCAGTCACGACTGTAGGGTAAAAATAACAAAAGCTGGTTATTGTCTTTCAATACAAAAGCGTAAAAGATCTGGCCGGAGGCCCAGAGGACGTCTCCCCAGTGTCTGGTGGTAGACCCAGTTAGGTTTAAGGACAGAAAACCTAGGTATGGAGGCCCAGCACTGGCACCACTATTGGAATATAAAAGTTAATGAAACTGAAGAAAGTGAAGCTGAGAGGCGGAGTTGAAGGTGTGTGCCAGTGCTAAATTTATAAGAAATCCCATAGTTGGGGATAGTGAAACTTTCCAGAGTAAGAGAGAGAAGAAAGCAGTGTCCTATAATAGTTTGTCATGAAGTTGAACACTGGTGAAATTAAAAAAAAAAATTGATGAGGATAGGAAGTTACCTGTTCACAGGGATGTAGCCACTTTCAGGAGTTTTGCTTTTTGAGACAGAGTCTCTCTCTGTCATCCAGGCTGGAGTGCAGTGGTGTGATCTCAGCTCACTGCAACCTTTGCTTCTTGGGTTCAAGCCATTCTCATGCCTCAGACTCTCTAGTAGCTGGGATTACAGGCATGTGCCATCGCATCTGGCTTATTTCTGTATTTTTTGTAGAGATAGAGTTTCGCCATGTTGGCCAGGCTGGTCTCAAACTCCTGGACTCAAGTGATCCACCCACCGCAACCTCCCAAAGTGTTGGGATGACGGGTGTGAGCCACTGTGCCAGGCCTAGGAGTTCAGTTTTGTTTGCTTTTCTCTACCAATTTTTTTTTCTGCAAATGTATCTGTGTGTGTTCACTTTTGGCTGTGGCTGAATTTGCAGCTAGTTTCTTGTGTGTTCAACTGAGAAAAGTTCTCCCTCCTAGAGGGAAAAGGAACAGGTAACGAAAAGCGTCTGTTAAATCTGTAACCCTGTGTACCAGTGGAACACTTTTTTAGAACACTCAAGAAGATGAACTTCTCCTAGGGACCAATAACTCGTGCTCACTAGATGTATATCTATTATTAAAGGGAAGAAAAAGGAATATAAATAAGTGTTGAGTCAACAATTCGTTGCCAAAAACGTATTTTACCTTTTGGAAAATATTTTTAGCGCCTGGGAAATTAATACAGAATTATAGGCCGGGCGCGGTGGCTCACGCCTGTAATCCCAGGACTTTGGGAGGCCAAGGCGGGTGGATTATGAGGTCAAGAGATCAAGACCATCCTGGTCACCATGGTGAAACCCCATCTCTAAAAATACAAAAAATTAGCTGGGCATGGTGGCACGTGCCTGTAATCCCAGCTACTCAGGAGGCTGAGGCAGGAGAATTGCCTGAACCCAGGAGGCGGAGGTTGCAGTGAGCCGAGATCGCGCCATTGCACTCCAGCCTGGGTAACAAGGGCGAAACTCTGTCTCAAAAAAAAAAAAAAAAATAGAATTATATATGAATCTAGGTTTGCACATTTACTCCTAATCAAAGCAAATCTGTGAACAAATCAGATTTGTTTGATAAACAGCTATATCCTGTTAATCAGGATTTCCTGCTTTTATCACATGTGGGATGTAGTGAAAACAAACATCACATTTGCTTGATTTCATTTTATTGCATTTATGTAAGACTTGTTTTTTTTTTCATGGAAAAGACCAATTTTAACACTGGTTTATGTATGGGTCAGACAGATTATCTTTGTTTCCACAAAAACATTTCTGGTTACAAAGAATACAACTACGCATGCAGTTAAATTGCACTACAATGAATGATGACTTTCCCGTTAAAAGGATTGGTATTTTTGAACTTCAGGGTTGCAAATTGCTTGGACTTAGTGACTCATGTGCCCTG